TGCTTATTTCCATACGCTTTCCCGCCCTTTTTGGCAAATGATCTAAGGAACATCATTCCTAATGAACAGGAACGAGGGAAGAGGTTGTTGGGGCCTGTCTATGAAGATGGTAAAACAATTCACCAAGCACACACATGAGAAATACCTTCTCTTCCACACCCTGCATTACTGACCAGTGACGCTCAAATTTGTGGTTTCTGCCCATGACACAGTTCAGTACCAAGAAAACACAGTAGAGCTTGACCACACCTGACATGGGGATTTTCTGAGCCTTTTAGCTCTTCAGAGCCCGCGTCACTAATCTCTCCTGAAGCTCAGTTTCCATGGGATCTGTAAGCACTGAACTCACACTGAAGCTGTCCTCCCTGGTCACTATTGATTGATATGTCTATCACATTAATGCTGCTAAGCTATGCTACTGTCAGCATTACTGTCTTGTCTCCAGATCTTAGAGCCCAATAGCTCTCAGACATCTTTGATTTACTTTATGCTATTCTGCATTTTTGCCTGGAGAATCCCATGATTTGTAAGTTACTGCAGCTAACAGCCATATCCTGTGCTTTGCGAATGGCTTGCTTGGCTCTCACTGACAGACAGCAAGACACAACAACCACTGCTTATTACCTCTGTATATTCTTTACCTCTTGGGTGGTCCCAGAACAGAAGGGAGGAATTGAATGAGCCCTGCAGGATGAACCCCATCTTCATCACTACAGAACATCCCTCCCTCTGTGGGTCAAAGAGAGGACTTGCATTTCCAGGATTGCCAGCCAAGTTCCTTCTAGCACCGTTGTACTCTCAGGGCTGCAGACGTGGGTTCAGGGTTTCAGTGAAAGGATGAACCCGGTCGGTGTGCTAGGCACACAGCCTAAGTGGAGGCAGCAAAGAGTAGTAGCTAAGACAAAGAGACCCAGTAAAAGAAATCTTGACTTGCTCCATTGAAATGCTGCCCTAAGAGTCTGAACAGTTCTGTTTCAGAGTTAACAGCACAAAGCAACATTAAAATATAGCCTTGAGCAATGAGTCTCCTACTTTGAATCACACCTGACTATTTACTTGGAAACGGAAGAAGCATAAAGACGCCCTTTGTGAGATAAAAAGCTTATAGTGGAATATGACAAAAAGTATGAGTAGAACAAAGAGAAAAATGACGATTCTGGAAGTTGGCTCACGTTTTAGGAGTGATGAAAATCATCAGGAATGCAACAGAAAAAAAAAAAAAAAAGCACAGGCAACGCCTCCTCTCTGGGCTATAAAGGGCTCCGAGCCAGGGGAAGTTAGCGCTCACAATCTCCCCTGCTGCACCGGGGTGTCTCTCTCAAGCTCAGCAGTCTCTGCCGTCCTTCGCCATGGCCACCACTGTCAGGCAATACTCCTCCTCCACGTCCCTCAAGGGATTCGGCGGCTTAGGTGGAGGCTCCAGCAGGCTGTCCTCCGTGCATGTTGGTGGAGGAGGGTACAGAGCCCCCAGCGTCAGCGGAAGGACCAGTAGCTACTCGGTCTCTTCTCGCACTGTCTCGGGGCTTGGAAGTGCCCTGGGTGGAGGCTACGGGGGCAGCTACTGCAGCAGCGTAGGAGGGGGCCTTGGCAGTGGCTTTGGGGGTGGCTATGGGGGCAGCTTCGGCAGTGGCTTTGGGGGAGGCTTTGGGGGCGGCTTTGGAGGCGTCTTTGGAGGCGGCGAAGGCATTCTGCAAGCTGGAGAAAAGGAGACGATGCAGAACCTCAACGACCGCCTGGCTGCCTACCTGGACAAAGTGCGTGCCCTGGAGGAGGCCAACACTGACCTGGAGGTTAAGATCAGGGAATGGTACAAGAAGCAGGCACCTGGTCCAGACCGTGACTACAGCCCCTATTACAAGACTATCGAGGAGCTGAGGAGCAAGGTAGGATGCTGTGATAACGAAAAGTTATCATTAAAGTCATTTTATTAAAGTCACTTTTTAAAAGATCATCCTACACCTAAAAAGTGAAGGGTAGTGTATTAACTGATGGTCTAAGATGGGAAAAAAGAAACAGCATGCTTGAAAATAAATGTCATAATCTATGAACAGCAAGTTTTTGATGATGCCTTCAGAAAGCACCAAAATATGTTTTCTATTTAATATTTCAGTGTAGAGGGAAAGACAGGGGCAGGAAAACTGGAGCCAGAGCCGGTCAGCCCTTCGTTCAGGTTATCAGACGCTCCATGGCGTGTGCTGGGCTGTGTGGCAGTGAGGAAGCTGCCTCGCTAGGCACTTCCTGCCTTTAGTGGATGCTACTTAGGCCCAAAGTACATGCTGCCTTTGCCCAGCTCCCGACTAAGCACTCGGCAGGCAGGGTCATGTTATCTTTTTGGCACTGTTCACTCCTGTAAAATGGTATGCAAACGGGGATGCCAAGTAGTCTTCATAATGATGCTACAATTCAGACTAATCATTTACAGCCTGACAGGAGGCTGAAAGGTAGGGGTTAAGAAATGAAACTGCCCCCTGGGATGCCTGTCCTTCGGGAAGTGTGAACACACACATGAGCAAAACACCAAGAGGGGTCAGAACATACTGGGTTGTGGCAGGTGGCTTCAGAGGGGCTGAAGTCATGCACGCACCGTACTCTAAAATGCAGCAAAGTAAAACAGAGCTGGGCTTGTTCCTTTATTTACAGCAAACATCAGTATCTGTCCTTCTCCTCCTGCCCCGCTACTGTAGTCCACCCCATGATCAGTTTTGTTCACTTTACTCATCATGAGCTGATTCACTGGTCCTTCAACATGTCACCTACGCTAGGTGACAGCATCCTTAGTCAGCCCAGGCCCCATGGAAGTGCATGGGAGTCACCACAGGAGGTGTGTGCAGGATGGTAATGATAACACCTGGTCCAGCATGGGAAACGCCAGGAAAATGGGGCTGCAGCCAGTGACAGGCTTCAACCCCTGTGAGCAAATCAAGTACGTCGAATTTTTCAGCTCTCTCTTCCCTTCTCTTGGGCTTCACAGCTGCTCTTGCCGTGACACACAAAGCTTCTCTGACTTCCAGCTTGTCAGGCGTGCTCTGGTCCAGCACACGGACAATGTGGAGGCAGCAGCTTCCTCCAGATCCAAGCAATGAATTACTGGGTCTCACAGAAATCCCATGCTGGTGATCTATAGGAAGGCAGCCCCTTTCTTTCCCCTCCAGCACTGCAGCTGGGATATTACCATTCTAACACTCCCTTCCTGGATTATTGCTATGCTATTCCCTGAAGCATCAGAACTCGGTAAGAGTTTTTCATTAGCTCATGGCTACAGAAATTATTACTTTTAAAATAGCCAATTATTTTCAAAACCCCAGAACAAATATTTGCACCTCAGGTATAGTTATGAAAGCCAGGTATAGTTATGAAAGCAAAATGCTTCAGGGACAAGGTCCTCCTTCCTCATCTGTTTTCCTTCTCAATCGAGCTGTTCTGAATTTCCAGACAAAACCCAGGGCACTGCCAGGCTGGGCACGGGGAGAGGTGTGAGTGTCTGGAGATGTCATTTTGGTGGGCAGAGCAGTCTGTGGCCTGTGTACACACGCCAGCATCTTCACAAGACTTAATTAGTGCCAATGAGAGCTTAGGCTGGAATATCTTTTCTCATCTCTGCAGAGTCCTTGTGGAAGTCCAACCCAATGGGCACGAGGTTCAGTGCTGCTCCTGTTCTTCCCCTAAACAGGAGTTCAGGCAGCAGCATGCAACCTTTTTTAAATAGTTTTTCACTCCTTCCTTTTTTTTTCCCCAGATTCTTGCTGCAACTGTAGAAAATGCCAACATTGTCTTACAGATTGACAATGCCAGACTGGCAGCTGACGATTTCAGAACCAAGTAAGTCTAATGCCTTCAAGATCTCTTATCAGAAAGGAAGACAAGGGAAAAGCCAGTCTGTTTGAGGCTTTCCATTGCTTTCTATACCTGAAGTCGCCCCTCCGGTACACCACACACTAGAAGTGTAACACAGGGAAGTGTACGTCTCTTCCTGGGCAGAGCATTGTCTTGACTTTCCTGCACTGTACAAAGCTGCACGTGCACATTTGATAAAAGATGTCTGGCAAAGAAAAAAGAATTAAAATATGCCAAGGTTGGGCAGGAAGCAAGACAGAAACATCTGTATCAACTTGGCTCCAAGGTGCGACTGGGTTTGTGTTCCCAGGTTTGAGACAGAGCAGGCTCTGCGCCTGAGCGTGGAGGCCGACATCAACGGCCTGCGCAGAGTCCTGGACGAGCTGACTCTGGCCAGAGCTGACCTGGAGATGCAGATCGAGAACCTGAAGGAGGAGCTGGCCTACCTCAAGAAGAACCATGAGGAGGTGAGGAGAGCCAGGTGCAATGTGGGACCCACAAAGCGTACCTTGTGCATAATGCAAAAGGGGTCATGTCCCACATGCAGGGTGGCTCTGAAATTAGGGCTGTCAGGAGAGACCTGACTGGGTAAGGGTGAGGGGAATAAGCCCTTCTTGTAGCTCAGGTAAAGGACAACCACCACTTGGCTGCGGTGGAAGACAGGACGAGGAATATTCCCTTGGGCTTCACTACTATGCTGTGAAACCCCTAATAGATATGATCTTTCTTTCCAAAGAGACAGAAATTCTAAAAGAAAATTCGGGGGGATTTTTGTGTTGGATGTGAGTGAGAAGAGCAATCTGCAGTTAGTCATGTTAGGAATACACTGGTACCATTGTGATGTGTATAACGTGTCTCTTGCACCAGGAAATGAATGCCCTGCGTGGGCAGGTGGGTGGAGAGATCAGCGTGGAGATGGATGCTGCTCCTGGAATCGACCTCACCAAGATCCTGGCTGAGATGAGAGAGCAGTACGAGACCTTGGCCGAGAAGAACCGCAGGGATGCCGAGCAGTGGTTCTTCAGCAAGGTGAGCTCGCTCGCCGGCCGCGGAGCAGGCCGTGCTGGGACCAACGCTTTGCCTGCTTGCCTCTCCTCTAACGGTACGCTTTTGCCTTGCTGCAGACGGAAGAGCTGAACCGGGAGGTGGCCATCAACACGGAGCAGCTTCAGAGCGGCAAGACGGAGATCACGGAACTGCGACGCACCATCCAGAGCCTGGAGATAGACCTGCAGTCCCAGCTCAGCATGGTACAAGCGCGGGAGTGTGGGCAAGGGGAGACATGGGCCCCCTCCCTCCCGCGCTCCGGCCCTCTCTGAGCTCGTACCTCTCCTCCGCACACAGAAAGCGGCCCTGGAAGGCACCCTGGCTGACACAGAAGCTCGCTATGGCACCCAGCTGGCCCAGCTCCAAGGCCTCATCACCAGCGTGGAGGAGCAGCTGGCCGAGCTGCGGTGCGACATGGAGCGCCAGAACCACGACTACAGGATCCTGCTGGATGTCAAGACCCGCCTGGAGCAGGAGATCGCCACGTACCGCCGCCTCCTGGAGGGCGAGGACGCCCAGTACGTACAGGGGCTTGGCTTCAGACACCAGGGTGGGCAGCAGACGGGTAACAGCTCAGATAGAAATTGTGCTGTTTAGGGACTCATTTGGAATGCCGTTTTCAGGATTCACATGTTTCTGTTCAGACCAACCAAGGACCCCGGTAGCACTACGCCCGTTTTCAGTCTGCCGTGAGATGCTGTAAGAGGTCCTAGTGGCTGCTGGAACAGTGCAGTGGTCCCTTCCCACCCCAGGAGAGACCGATCTCCAGACTAATTATTTGATTAAATTCTCTTGGTTCAAGGCTCTAGCTCAAATAATATCAGGAAAAGTTTGAGGCATACAGTATCAAAAAGAGCCCTGAGATGCTCAGAAAGGTTTGCTACTGAGCTATTAAAGTGGATAATTTTAAGGAAAATCGATTAAATTGCTGCAGAGGATAAAAATAAGCTCTAAGTAATATGAACATTATCAGACTACATTCTCAACGCTTGCTTGCTGTTGCTTTAGTGTGTAAGATTTTTAACCTCTTTTTTGACTTTTCTGTTATCCTCTCCCTCCTGAATACAAAGCCTGTGAAACAACAAAAAGAATTTGTTCTTAACTTCTCTTTCTTTTTCTTCTTCTCTTATAGCATCTCTTCCCAGTACTCCTCCGCTATGTCCTCACACTCTGGTAGAGATGGTAAGAATGTCTCTTACTTCATCCGTCTATAACGAACAGCTTTGAGACTTGCTTTTAGAGAAGCTGTCAAACTGATAGAGTGAACACCATTCCCCAAGCATGCCTCACTGGCTGAATCAGAATGACGGCAGTCAAGACAGCATGTGAGCCTCCCACCGCTATTAACCGCAGGAAAAAGCTATAAAGAAGCTGTAAAAATCGCATTTACAACAGGAATGACCTAACCTAAATGCAGGTTGTGCTTGAGCAGCCAGACAATGTTCTAGCTTTACACAGACCTGAAAAATCAAACAACACCAACAAATACAGGAAGTGGGCTTTTTCCCTTTTTGGGCATTCTCATAAGCATGCCTCCTCACTCTTCTTAACTAAAGTAGGATTGTTTATAACAGCACGGGCAGGCAAAATACCCCTCGGAATTTCCCAGGCCTTTCTTAAGACCCTGCAAACATCCGATAATGCATTAAGAAATTTCCTTTCTGCCCTCAGAATAATTGTCACTTGCTTTCCTTTTGCAGTAATGACAACTTCCCGCCAGGTCCGCACAATCGTTGAGGAGGTCCAGGATGGGAAGGTGGTCTCCTCCCGGGAGCAGGTTGCACTCACCACCCGCTAGGAGTACCCTTGACTGCAGGCTTGAGAGAGCGAAGGCTGAAACAAGCCCTGTCTGAGGCTGTTTTTGATGGGGTTACGTCACAGAAAGCAGCCAGCTTTGTTTTTCTGCTTCCCGTTCCTCTTTTACCCTAATTTCACTTGGGTGCCACAGCGCATTCTGCAAGCACTTAATAAAGCCTTTCTTCTCATTCATGCAGCTGTAGTCTCATCTGTCACTGATGCACAGTCTCTCACACCTTCAGGGTTGGGTGCTCATGCCAGGGAAAGTCCTCAGTAACCACAGGAAGCAGCTCAGGTAGGGAAAAAGAGGGACAGGGGGTCAATTTGGAGCAAAAATAATTTGAGAAGGCTCTTTTTTTGCTCATAAATACCTGGCACTGACTGAGGCATAAACCAGAGAAGATTGATACGAAATGAAGACAATGACAGAGGGATGATGTCTGAGGACAAAGTAAGCGCCACACATGAGTGGTAATTAAAGTCAACAACATCAAGCTCTTGGTGTCATAAGAATCACTTTCTCCTGTAAGTTAGACTTCAGCAAGATTACTACTATTCAGAGAGAGACAGGAGCACAACATCAAACTGAATGGCAAATCTTATATACATATTCTTACTGTCTCATTTGACTGTCTTTTAACGGTGTTATTAGGCACATTCTGCAAAAGCCTTATACAGGTCCTTTCACGCTGCCCTAAGGCTGCATTTAACAGGTTCCAAAGTAATCATTGCTTAATCTGCACAGTGATGAACGGCAATGGTTACTTATCACTACGACATCTAGCAGATCATTGTTAAAATTCTTCCTGAAAAGCTGTAAGCCAGTTATTTTACGTCAACATCATGCAAGCTGAAACCTGAAGACAGGTAGTAGATTTTACCCTTGGCTCTGAACACTCACTTTCCATTAAGTGAACCAGGAAGCAAAGTATCCTGTGCTTGTCCCACATCCACCAAACATGTTTGTCTCATGGATTCAATAGGAGAAGAAGTCATTTTAGATGCAAAAGGCTGATGCTTTCTCACCAGTGGTACTTTGGAGTTTTATCTGGTCTTGGGCCATGCCCTCACGTTCATCACCTACCTCATGAAGACAGATTTAGGCCTTAGACAAAAGGAAGAGACAATAGTTTACAGTAAATCAGCTTCCCTTTAATTATAATGATGGAGAAGTGGGTTTTGCACCTGAATTCAAGTATGCTCATCTCTTGGATTAATACCGATGATTCATTCTCCTTCAGGCTCCACAAGGGCACTAAGGTCTTTATTGAACAAGTATGAAGGCATCCTCCCTGGGGTGAACAAACTCTTGAAAAGAACTGATGATCTCATGCTAGGCATGATGGGACAAGCCAAGGAAAGGGAAGGTGATCGAAGAAGTGGATGAACCTGCCAAGTCTTTCCAGAAAAGGAAGTGTGTTCTGAAGTGATGTTATCATTCTGTGCCATTGTGTAACAACTACAGAAAAGCATAAGAAATGAAACGCAGACCAGACTGCAGAGATCATTGGTTGTATTAGGCTTCTCTCCTTGCTAGAACTACAAACATTCCTTGCAGAAATAGGAAGCCTTCCAATCCACATGGTCTGCAGTCATCTAAAATTAGGTCAAGCAAAACGGACTTCAGCATCAAGCTGTCTTAGACATGACGGCAATGGAAAAGGAAATTCTGAGCAGGGTGGAAATTCTGATTGAACTGAAAATGTGGGGTTTGGTACAGCAAATAACATGCAGAAAATCTGGAATGCTACCATAGTCCATAGTGAGATATGAAAATACTTTTGCAAATATCAGATACAAGAATTTTCTATAGCTGAAGCACAAAAATTTAGCTGAGCACGAGCAGACAGGAGCTAGGGCTGCTTGTAGTTCTCACTGCTATATCAGAGGTCTTCTGAAAAGGACCTCCTTGCCTCAGGCCAGCAGTGCACAGGCTGAAGGGACATCCGCAAGTCCTAGTTGGATGCCTGGGATGCCAGACTGCCTGCCTTTCTGTTTTCTCCCTGGTGGCTGCTTCAAGCCCAGACCTGTGGGTGGGCTTGAAGCCACACCGGTGGATGGACACCGGCTCCAGCTTAGAGGGACTCAAGATTTAGTGTCGTGTGTGAGTCACTATGTGTCCGGGCAAAGCTCTCTTGGACATGAACATGGATTCTGACCAGTTCTGCTCCTGATTCACTGCTGCTCCAGCAGTGAAAGCGGTGGCAGGCCTGGGTTAGTGGGCATCATGTTAGCAGTGCCTGAGTCTGACCATGCCACAGCATCCACTCAGGATCTCACCACCAGTGATGCATGCCATGGCACCGTGGCACAGGCTTCACCTGCTAATTATGGATGTAACAAAGGATGGACATAAGCAGAATCCACACCACATTTAAGGTGTTACGGATTTGCAGGGTCAAGATAAAATCAAGACTAATGAACTTACCCAAATGGCATAAGTAGTATTTCTGAATTACAACAGGCTGGACCTGACACATCCCTTATGTCATGTGTCCAGGTGACCTGGATGCCAAAGACAACTGGGCCAAGCAAGCTTTGTCAGATAGGACTGTAGACAGCTTTCCCACATATTTCACTTTCCAGGTAGACTTGCCCACGTCAGGGTTGGATAATTATTAAGATGTTTCATTCCCTGGCCGCTCTTGGGTATCATCGTTTTTGTGTCACTGTTGTTTAGTTGTCACTACAAGTCAAACCTGATGATTCAGGAAGTAACATTTTTGATGTAGTTTTGAAACACGCTTCTGTTAACCAAAGTATCTTTCTGTTGTGGGATTTCTGGAGACAAACGCCTTTGGAGAAATATTTCAGGCTCAGAAAAAAATAGAACTAGCCAGGTCACAAGGAGGAAGAATAAGCAGCTCTTCTCTGGTGGTGGCATCCGCTACGAAAGGTATAAATAGAGAACTGTGAGGACAGAGTGATCACAATCTGATCCCGCACCAATCTGTGCAGCCTGCTTTGGGCTCTGTGCTGGATACTCTGTTGCTCTCACCATGAGCTGTGGCATCAGGCAGGTCCTTACTACCTGTTCCCAAGGCAGAAGCAGTGCTGGTAATGGAAGAAGGGTTTCCTCTGTCTCTGGAAGACAGACTGCCTATGACTTAGGTGGTGTAGTTGGCAATTTTTCTGGAGGCAGTTTAAACGAAGGATTAATTGGGAAGCAGCTGAACGCTGGCAGTGGTACAGGTGAAAGCTTTGGAGCTGCCCAGCAGGCTTGTTCTACCACTGGATTCAGCGGTGGCAGCATTTGCGCTCGAGGCCTTGCTGGTGCATTCACCAGCTCTAGTGCTGGTTGCGGTGAGGGGATCTTATTTGCTAACAATGAAAAGGCGACTATGCAGAACCTTAATGATCGCTTGGCCTCCTACCTGGACAAGGTGCGACTCTTGGAGGGAGAAAATGCTGATCTTGAGCGCAAAATCAGGGAGTGGTATACTAAAGTAGGCCCCAGCTGTGAACCACAGGACTACAGCTGTTTTCACAAAGAAATTGATGATCTTCAAAATCAGGTAAATCACTATTTTTCAAGTAAATTCTAATATTTCTCTGGGCTTCCCTTTGATGTGTGGATAGACCAAATTCAAATGGCGGAGGCAATACCTCTGCCTGTGAAGATGCACATGAAGCAATGGTTTATACAAAAAACTGACAGTTTGTGAGGGGAGCACTTCCAGGGAACTGAAGTTTCAGCACAGCCTGCTCAAACAAGCTAGCATGTAGAATTCCCCAGTGAAGTGCCACTGGGTTTAATAGATTAATAATCCCAATATAGGAAATTGTTATAAAATAACTGGGTTGCATTACTCCAAGGAGCTGTTTTCTCCAGGGCCCTTCTGCAGCTGGAGGGAGCTGCATGCCCAAATGTCTCTTCTGTATTTTCTTTTCCAGATCCTGTGTGCAGCTATGGAAGCTAACAAAATTCTTTTGAATACTGATAACAACAGGATGACTGCTGATGACTTCAGAGTGAAGTGAGTATAGTCCTACGGCGGCCTGAGCTGTTCACACTGCCTGCAGAAGGGCAGGGGAGTGATGTTGATGGGGAAATCCTAACAGTGTTGGGGCCAACAAAGAAGTTGCTTGCAATGCTGCCATATGAAACTGCATATCTATGTGCAAGGCATGGATATTATTAACAGTGTTCATCACATAGCATGCCTGAAGTGAAAGAAGTACTTGGTCCTAGTTGTTTTCCACAAGCTCAACTCACAAGAAAAGTAAGTGGGAAAAGCTGGTCAAAGCTGGTCTCTGTTGAGCAAGCATGTACGCAGTCTGAAATATCTGTGCAGGAACACAGCCAGACAGCTGTGAGGGACTTGCCACAGTGTGCTGACATGCTAACTTTTCTTTGCTGTCTGTGGCTTAAGGTATGAGACTGAATGCGGTCTCCGGCAAAATGCGGATGCAGATATTTGTAACTTACGCCCTGTCGTGGATCAGCTGGCCAGCTGCAAGACTGATCTTCAGTTTCAGTTTGAGGCCTTGACCGAAGAGATGTGTTGTCTCAAGACAAACCATGAGGAGGTGAGATTCCCCCTTACTCTTACAGATATAAGAAAAAAGAAGGAAAGTCCCCCCGAGTGTGACTCGCGTTGACACGGCACGCGTATTCTCTGCAGGAAATGAGCTGTCTGAGGAAACAAGTGACTGGTGATGTGAGCGTGGAGGTCAACGCCTGTCCTGGCCCAGACCTCAGGAAGATCCTGGAGGACTTGAGGTGCCAGTATGAAACCCTGATGGAGCGCAACCGCAAAGAGACTGAACAGTGGTATGCCTGCAAGGTACTAGACAGGGGCATAGCTGTACCCTGCTCTGCCTGTTGAGGGAAAAGGGAAAAATGAGAGAGGTTAAGAACACATACTGGAGATGTTTTAACATCAGCAATTCCGTTGAGGATGTGCTCGGCGTCTTACTATACTGTCCAAGCACAGTGCTCTTCTGTTTATGGCAAAGGGGCCACTGCATGGTGTTACAGGGCCATAACGGAATAAATGGTGGGGCTTTGGGTTTGGGGATACTCAGAACACTGCAGTGCGTGCAGAAGCAGCATGGTGAGGCCTTCTGGAGGAGGGAGCAGCCGGACGCTGTGGCACGGTGAGGTGAGGAGTGTTCTTATTTTAACTTTTCAGGTAGAGGAGGTGAACTTGGAGGTCATCACAAGCAGCCAGGAGATAGAGTCAAGCAACAAACAGGTCACTGAACTGAGACGTCAGCTGCAGGCCTTGGAAATCAATGTACAAGCCCAGCTCAACATGGTAGGTGATGCCACAGGCGTTCGTATCTCAGACTCCCCAGCTCTGTTTAGAAAGCTGCATTATCAGGGTCATACAGCTGAGACACACTGAACCAACACCTTTTAGTATGATTTCTCAGCTAAAAAGTCCCAGCTTCCTGTGACCGGATGGGCTAAGCCTACAAGTGTCTTTTTCTTGTTTCCATCCTCAGAAAGAAAATTTGGAATCCTCTTTAGCAGAAACTGAATGTCGCTACAACAAATACCTTGCTGAGCTACAGAGCCAGATCTCCTGCGTGGAGCAGTGGCTGGCTGAAATACGAGAGGAAATGGAGTGCCAGAACCAAGAATACAAGACCCTATTGGACGTCAAGTGCCGTTTGGAGCAGGAGATTCAGACCTACCACTGCCTGCTGGAGGGGGGACAGCAGGACATTGTGTATGCAGACTACAGACAAACCCGGGCATAGTAAAATCTCCCCACTTTGACTTACAAAGATATGAAAATTTGTCATACAAGAGGTAGAAATAGTATTGTGTTGAGGAACCGGGACTGACCTGTTACTAGACGGGGCTCATTAGCTGATCACAAGGCATTTGAAAAATTGGCTCTGATAAGCATCCAGACTGTAAGCCAAAGATCATTACCTCTTTGGGCAGCAAAGACAGCCAGGAGAGTGCCTCAAAACCTGTCCTCTGCATTGTGCAACATCTCAGATCATTAAAGGGTGCTTTTCACTATGAGTTGGGCAAGGTCTTTTATGAAACGTGGCATTTAATTGAGTTTTATTGCCTTGCCACTGCTAGACAGGATTAGGGACTAGCAGTTAAATTAACTGAAACAATAAATTATCTAAACATTTTCAGACTCACACAACAATTTTAATTAAAGTTTTGGGAAATTTAATTTGTATGCAAAGCAGTTGGCTCTTTCCATTGACTGAGATTTTGAAACAGTGAGGCCTGCTGTTCATCTCATAAACGGCTGCCTACACATAAAACTGGCCTGAGCACCCACCTGCTCCAATAGTTGGGAAAAAGAGGTATTTTAATAGCAGTACCCTGAGGTGGTCTCTCATGGGCTCTCCAGTCCTAAATTGGCAATGTGAAAAATCAGTTCCTGTTCCAAAATGCTGGTTGCAATGGATGAGATGACACTGTGGGGGTGGCTCTCAGAGCCTCAGGCAGTCCAGAATCCTATGTCAAGACGGAAGGGCAATAGCTGTCTGGTGGACAAGCAGGATGGAGGATGCACTAATTGTTGCTCTTAATGACCCTCACGGTTCAAAGGGGGGAAGGGAACCTTGACGGTGCCTTACCCCTCTACTAGGCCAATAGTAGCTGAAGACAGGCAGCTAAAGTCAATGGAACCAGTAGCTCCAGTTCACAGGGCAGTTCCCCAGGCTGCGACTGACGGGCACTTTGGTCAACAGAGCTGTCTCCCTTCCACAGAGAGCCAGTGGGAAGAGGAGCCTCTGCAACATCAGCTGGGAGAAGCAGTGGGCTTAAAGCCAGCCTGTGTCAGCCATGCCTGCCCTTCGCTCTGGGTGAGGATGTACAAGGTGAGGTGTCCTCTAGAAGCCTGCAAGTGTGACCATGAGTTACTTCTTTGGTCCTGCTATTTACTTGCAGAAGTGGAGCATGAGAGATGTCCAAGCTTTTCTGGGATGGTAAAGAGGGGCTGGAGATGGTTTCTTTTTCCTGGAGAGAGTCAGCGCAGGGAGTCAGACATGCAGGACGGTGGCCGTGGTGGTTGGTGGCAGAGCATAGTGATTAACTCGGCTATGATAGATAGCAGCAGGGAGGGCTGCACCTATGGGACATTTACAAACTTACACGTAGAAAAGATTTTTGATGCTGGGGGGTTGCTAGTAACAAATATGTTTAAGTAAGCCCTTCAACACAACACAGAAATGAAAGACTGGTGGGGGAATCAAAGTCAGTCATGAGTCTGAATATAAAAGAATATAAAATTAACCAAGTCAGGGAGAAGAGCGAAAAGAAAGGTCAGTACAAGAGCAAGGGGCAACTTAGGAGAAAGACAAAGGAGTATGTGGAGGCGAGCCCTGAAAAGCAATGCTTCCTACTCTCCCTCAGCAGGTCACTGAAGACAAGAGCTTCCCTGCCAGTCCCACTGCAGTTCCTCTAAGGAGGGGACCCAAAGAACAAACTTGCTGGAAAAAGCAAGACAAAAATAACCTGACAGTCCTCAGTTCTGCTTATGGCACCGGCTGGAAGGGACTTTTGCAGGAGGGCTGTCTTCCTGCCAGCTACTCTGCCTGCTGCCTTCATCCTGCAATGCTGTTTTGATCCAGCCACTGATCCTTACTTGGGCTAATCTGTACTGCAGTCAGTCATCTAACAACTACCAAAGCCTGTCTCTAATAAACCTTTGCTATTAGTTATACAGCCTTGTGCCTGAGAAATGATTTCTACAAGTAAATTATTATACAAGTATTAAAAAAATTGTTACACAGAGAGTTATACTTATCATACGCTTTTGGCTAGAAATCCACCTTTGGTCAGAGCTTCTCTGAAAAGCTACTTCCACAAAGCAATCCTTACAATGAAAAACAGAACAATATTGTGCAGTGTTCCCATCTGCCACACTGTTCCCAGTGACTTCATTGGCTGCAGGAAGACGAAGAATGGGAAAAGCTGATGCTGCGGAAAGGTACGTTTGCTCCCAGAGAAGGAAGTATAAGCTAAGACACGAAGTAGAAGGTGCTGAAGAAAGAGATATTCAGGGAGCTTGGAGACAGCACAGGGAAGGAGCTTCAAGGCAGTCTGACTGATGATCTTTCACTGAAAGAGACTTCTGAGGGAAAACTGAGCTTTCATTAAAGGAGGTATGCATATAATATAATACAACACAACACAACACAACACAACACAACACAATCAAGAATAACAAGTTTTGCCAAATAATACTGAAGCAGTAATTCTGAAAGCAAGGCTCTGCTGGACTTGACACACCCTTCTGGTGCAGAAAAACAATTCCTAGAGAAAAGGCTAAATAAAGAACATCTAAATGGATACAAAAAAAAAAAGGCAAGCAGGAATAACCAGCTGGCAACATGTGGGAAGATAAAAGGGTGAGACAAAATTAATATGTGGGAGAGAATTTTTAAAAGGGAAGATATAATAAACAGACAGAAAAAAGGTGGTAGTATTTTAGTACCACAAAGAAAGGAATTGCAGGCACATTCAGGAACACAACTGCATTTTGCTGCTTGTACAAGCAAAGAATCAAGAACTGCCCCTCTCACCTCACTAGCAGCAGTGTCTTTCCTCCTACAAATGCATCAGACAGGCTGCGAAGGCTGCTGCTGATCTTTGCTCCTCATTATGGGGTTCAATTAGCCTTTTTCTATAACAAAATATTTGATGGGGTTTGATGACTGACCTTTTACACAGGTTCAACATAAAGGCTTCAGAGGAGACCAAGTCTTAATTAGAGCTCATTTCTAAAGGAAGAAGCAACTCAGACACTTCTGGAAAGACAAATAGCTATTTCTGGAAAAAGTTAATTCCTGGCAATATTATTTCAATTTGTTGAAGGCCTGGTGGCCTCTCAAATCACCACCATTCTTCAAAAACAGCCTCCTGGAAAGGCTTTCCTTTCTTTCCTAACTCTGTAATTGTGCCAGTGCCCATAGTGCATGTGAACAGTGGCACACAGAGGAGAGCGTGCAGAAGTGAGGAAAGAAGTGTGTGTGATCACATATATGTGGTTTGCAGTTTAGAAGAATTTAAGGCCTAACAAGACTTCCAGAAGGAACAGCTGCTACTTACTCTCATTAAAGGACCTTCCATTTTCACACAGCCTGACCACCTACCCTGTAAGTTATCAAACCCTGGAAACCTAAAGCAGGGTTAGCGGGAATAGCAGAAATACAGAGACCCTTCCTGTTGTAAGCTTCTTGAGATAAGGACGCTCTGCATGTTAGGCAGGTACAAAATAATACAATAAGGACTCCCATCCCTTCTTCATCTTCTTGGTGTAAGACAACATGGGACAAGGTAAAGTTTGGCTGCACAGAGTTATTCCGCTGGCAAAAGTTACAGCCAAGGTGGGACTTCGTTGTAGTCAACACTCTTTCTTTGCTCTGTGCTTTGTCTGCTCATACGTCTTGTCTCTTGTGCCCTAAGCTTTCCACTCCAAGTTGTGTGTTGTGTCTTTGTGCAGCTCACTGCACCGGCACAAAGAGCCAAGGGGTAAGCAATCCAAGGAATGGCTCAAGCGGTCCCCTTGGGAGATGGCCTCTCCCCAAGTCTGTGTCCCCAGGTTTGTGGAGTAATTGCTGCAGTGAGCTTCTGGACAAGGCTCTACGCTTAAAACTTGCTCTGACTGAGTTCTGTATCTCCTGCTTCTGCAATGTACACTAATTATACAGTACATTTCACATCATTTAAGCTGTCTCAGTGTTTAAACGGCACCTCTGAGGTCACTGTATTAAACGATATGCAGAAATAAAAAGATGTCTTCACTGTCCAGTGAGTTTGTAACCTGGACAGCAATGGCAAATGATGACTGTGGAAACAGTACAGGACGAGAAGGTGAAGAGAAGTTAAATGAAATGCAGAAGATGCAGCGTATGGGATGACAGGACACGAAGCGACCCGGGACACGGAGTGCATACTCCTTCAGGCAAACTTCAACCATATCGCAAACACGCAGTCACTCATGTTAGCACACTGCCAGTGCAGCTTGTACGACCTGGGTTTTTGCTTTCTTTAACGTGCAAATCTTGTAAAACAAGAGTGAATGAGTAGCGCAAAGAGAGACAGAAACTTAGGCTTAAGGTGTAAGCTTGGGAGAGGAATTTAAAGACAAAAAGCAAGGGAGTGGGTGCCCCAGAGAGCAGAGGTGGTTCCAAGTGTAGGTGGTAGCACGTGAAAAACCATCAAACATTGAGCAGGGGAGTTATATTAGCACTCAGATCAGTAAGCAGAAGCTGTCAGCATCAGGAGCAGCTGCTATAGATGAAACGTACTATGCTTGCTCTGGCAGACACTGTCGCTGTCTTTCAGAGAGAAAAGATGATGTGAATTACAATATCATCAGAAAAAATCTCTGAGGAGTAAACATATCAGAGGTTTAGGACATCAGGGAAGAAACAGAAAGAAATCAACCAATCTTGCAAACTGTTAATGCTGGAAATCAGCCAGGAGTTAAGGACTGCATGGAACACGCAATTATACATGATTACAAGTATTATGCATTTTTAATGCTAGGATATATTTTGGTGACCTGTATAAACTATAATTTCTCTATTAAATCCTGTTCTACAAAGTACACAGACAAGTACAGTCTCACTCACACCCATAGTAACTATCTGTGGGGACTGTATTTTTGTTTACTGCCTTGTGTAACATTTATAAAATTGTATATGAGTAAATCAATATTATAATCAAGCAGTAGATTTCTCAGCCCAGTACATTGTAAAATATCATATAAACTGTCTTT